CTTGCTTAGCCTCTTTCTGCCTAATCTTATAGATCATTTTGTCTTCCTCACTCTGGTTTTTTTTTTTATAATTACTAAATGCTAACTTTTAGTTTTTAACTATTTTGGCCACATCTGCGGAATACCACAGTGGTTTCTTGAATTTTTTGCTTTTACTGACAAGCCTAATGTAATTTTCTGTTGCCTTCAGTAGTGCAACTTTTAAATAATCCCATTTCTCTTGGACTCCATTGCTCCAGGCTGATAATGACTCCTCTTTTGTTTTTGTGTGGTGTGACTCAGTCACTGTTCTTATATTAAACCACACTGACTGATTATCACTGGATCCTAAACTTTCACCTACAGTAACATCTGATACCAAATCTCCATTTGTTAACACTAAATCTAGTATGGCCTCTTTACCAGTTGGCTCCTCAACGACTTGTTTTAGAGACAATCCCAGTAGGGAGTTTAGAATATGTGTGCTCCTGGCACAAGCAGCTATTTTTGTTTTTCAATTCACATCAGGAAGATTAAAGTCACCCATGATGATAACTTCGCCCTTCATTGTCATTTTAGCTATTTCCTCAACTAGTAGATTGTAACGGACCGTTTTGCACACAAGGGGTAAAAACCGTTTAGGCGATCGGCCCCCTTTCCAGAGATACAGGCACAGCTACTGCAGAACACCAAACTCCCGAACTGGATACAAAATAGCACTCCAACTCCAGAACTGGAACCTCCCAAATAGCTGCTAGCAGACGAACAGGAAAAGCAGACAATCAGCTTACACTCCTGGCAATCAGTCTCTAACAGCATACAGTGAATCCACCCAAGAACGAGACAAGGCTCCGTGTTGAGGGTCAAGCAGTGGTCTGAGGTGCTGGCACACCCAGCCTGGTTTTTATTACAGTGTTTCAAATACAGGACCACCCACAGGGAGGGATAAAACAACCAATCATATCACAGTTACATCCCACATATTCCCTCCCCTTATCCTGAGAGGAAACTCAATTATACAAACAGTTAAAACATACTTTCTACCCAACTTTCATAACTCCAAAACCATACATCACATTCACATAAAATTACATATTCTCAATCAATCCATTCAGGGGAACAACATATTCAAAAATGGCACAAATCAGACAAGGGGTTCAAAAGTTAGTAAAAAGTCCTTTGTGACTAAATGAAGCATGGCTTTCTGGCCCAAACCAGTTTCAGAGTCTTCTATCCTGGAGATAAGTAATTCAATTATCTCCCAGGACAGACACAAGACTCCATTAAGCACATGGTTGCAAAGAGACACAAAACACTTTAAAATACATAAAGTCACATTTATTACATAAAACACAGACATGTAACATATCCCCAGATAGCTCAGGTCCGAGCGCACATTATTAAGTGAATGGCGCTCAGACCACACGAATACAGTTTAATCGCCATGGAGCTAAAGTCTTTACAGTCAGTTTCATACGAATGGGCTCCATGGGATTCCTATCTGGGGTATAACACATTCAAACAAATCTACTGAAACCCAGGCAGAAAAGCACAAATACAGCTTTTCTGCAGGCAAAAATAAAGTCTTTTAAAAGGGGGCCATAGTCCAAAGGCAGCAGGCGAGCAACCAGGCTTCTCCAATGCAATGTGGCGAGATTGGTCTCGTCACATAGATTATCTAACCCTTCAATTTGTCCTGGAGGCCTATAAATCACACCTACACAAGTTCCTGTATGATTACCAAATTCTAACGTAACCCAAACGGACTCTATGTCCGCCTCACTAACTTTTATTAGGCTAGATTTTATGCTATCTTTCACATACAGGGCCACCTCTCCCCTCCCCCTTTCTTGCCTTCCCTGTCTTTTCTATATAAAGAGTACCCTGGTATTGCTATGTCCCAGTCATTTTTCTCATTATACCATGTCTCAGTAACAGCGACTAAATCTACACTATCAGTTGCCATTATTGCCACAAGTTCATGGATCTTATTCCCTAAACTGCGAGCATTTGTAGACATGTCTCTAAGCTTATCAATTTTTAACACACTTGCTACAGGCACCTTCTGTCCTTGTTTTGGGGGACAATTGGATTGATGTTTTATCACCCTTTTTATCACCCAAACCTGACAGAGCTTCCATACTACAACCAAGCACCTCCACCAAGTCCGCTTCCTCGCTGCCACAGGGTACTCTGGAGCATTTCAGACTCAGTCGCCAAAGGAACTCTTCCACCCAAACAGGCTGTAGCTCTCTTCTTACAGGCAGGTATTGTCCTCTCTGCCTTTGCTACTTCTGTTCCTCTCCCAGGCAGGTATCAACACCTCTGCCTAGACTATGATCAGCTACTGCCTTTATAAAATCACTTGTGGCTCTTAGGCCTCATTCTCTTTTTAACTTGCCCCATGATACAGGCACCAAGCAACCAGCCAACAGGTCTGAAGACATTTACTGGGATCCCTGAATAAATCAACAAGAACATACAAGTCCTTATTTTGGACAAGGACTAGCCATTAGGGATTACTCCTTAAACATGTGGTGACAAAAATTTAAAATACAACTATACAGAACATTGGAGAACAGGCAATTATAATTAATACATGAACTATATAATACAAGTAACATTTTCAAACACAATATAAAGCAACAATATATGCATGTAACTATGTATTTGTTTGCCCTAATTTGCATGCCAATATTATGTAAATGTCCACATTTCCATAAAGCCAGCAGAGGGCGCTGCAGAGTTATCAAGTAACAATGAATAGTTTGTTTTTCAATTGCCATAATCAGAAGCCCCTTTCAGAGGCTCTTCAGAACAAGTCTGTAGTCTGTTGGCAAGAGGCTGGCCTTCAAGCCTCTCCAAAAAGCCATGGCAAGGGAACGTCTGTCACATGGGCTGTTTCAGGTTTTTTCACAGGGAGAGAAACTCCTGTCAAACTGCTTGTTGAGTTCCTAGTTGTGTAGGCCCTGGTTAGACCAGCAATGTGCATTTTTTTCCCTTAGGTTAAGCACTCAGATTATGTGCAGAATAGATGAGCTGCAGTTAAGGATATGAAAAAGAGTAAAGAAATATGCAGGATTGTTGCAAGACCAGGAATATTTCCTAGCTGCGGGGCAGGAACCTATGAACCAACACGTTAAAACATTATGTGAAATCACAGGGGAAGAAAAAAATGGAGTCAAATGTATCAGGAACCTCAATGTTTTGCACACGACTAAAATGGGAAGAGGATAGATTATACATGTAATTTATAATACAATAGAACTTACCAGACACTGAGTTAATTGATCTCTTTAGTCTGCCTGCAGAGCAGATTACAGCCAGGCTTGCTGTTTAAGGATGACATGCAGACAGGATGAAGAAATCAAAAAGAATGCCAATAACCGAACTGTGCTTGACAGCCTGAAACTGGGACAAAATTATGAATGTTCCAGTCAGATCACTAATTTTAGTCTTCTTCCATAAATACTTGCCCAGCACAAACATCTTGCAAAAAATTAATGCATGATAAGCATGCGAAACAGAAATGAAATATGTGACTCTTCTTCGACAGACGGCCACTTTGATTGCAATTGACACTTCCTAAGTCTTAGCAAGGTTAATTCTGGATTACTCACTGTCTGTTGGCTAGAAAATAGCTCAAAGCTGCTGTCTCTACAATCATAGAACGGGAAATGAATACTGACTGACATCACCGTCTCCAGTAAGAAAGAAATTATCACCTTTAAAGAAAAGCCATCTCATTTGAGGAACAATTATTTTAAATAGACCACTCTCATCCAAGAATGTGCTGTCGTGTGAGAACATTTTAAATTCTTTACTT